TAAATCAAAAAATGGCCGAGCCATTATTCTCAATTCTTCGTCTGCTTTTTATGGTAGTAAACTGGGGAGCATTTACATATATATAGATGCTCCTGATGGCTTCGGTCAGGACACATTTTGTCCGCTTTTCCTGTTTAGCCAAAGTGCACAAAAAGGCAGGTTATGTTTGAGGCAGGAGGGGAGTCTTTGTTGTGGAAGAATTCCTCCGCAAACGCACAGGTTAGCTCTCTTTCCCGCCTTCCCCCCATCCTCTGTCTGTTTTTTCCTTTTTGATTAATAATCCCGTCGCGTACAGTCACACAAAGGCCCATTTGATGAGGAGGGAGAGTGTGTGCTTTACTGTACGCACATGTGGCCATGTGCACCCGTGTGTCCATCAGGTTAGTGTGTCTGAAAATGCCTCTTCTGTGTGTGTGAGCCTGTGTACAGTGAAGGGGCCAGGCGTACGAGATGCCCGAGGGGATGCTGGGATACATGCCACAATTAAAAGTGCCCCCCAAGAAGCAGTGAGAGCGGCTGAGATCAGAGAGGGATACCAGCCGGCTAATTCATCACTGTCACTCTGCCCCGCGCCTCGCCACATCCCGTTAAAAACACACACTCGCATGCTTACACACTGATATGGGCCCCTGCAAACACACACACACGGTGGACAGGCAGGACAAAGACTATAGCAACACACAGCCCAGTGAGGCAAAAGCGATAACACATCTATCAATACGGTCCAGTACACCACCTACACACGCATGATAAAAGTTTTCAGCTCCATGTAATATTGATCTTTTGTTTACAGAGTGTTGCTTATTCTGAAATAATTATCGATATCTTTTACTGCAGTAACTGGTTGGCTGCTAATTGGTTATTGTTCTTAAGTGGAAAAGCAATAAATGAGAACTATATACCATTCAGTTGAGCAAGGCTTTGTTATGAGACATTGGTTACATTTCCCGTATGCTTAAATGCAGTAGAACATTTGAAAAAAGATGCAAAAGGGGGCAAAAATAAATATTTTGAACACACATTGTAAAACCTGTATTTGTAACATCTACTGTCAACAAAGCCTCAGTTTGATCCCTTCATTTATTGTCTTTGAATTCTAGTCACAGAGCTAAGCATCCCTACAAAGATCCGTGATGAAGTGGCAGTTTTTGCCTGAACTTATCATTATGAAGTAAATGTTGATTGCACAATGTAATGGCTTTACAATAATGATGCCTTTTTAGAATGGTTCCCTATAAGCCTCACTTTCACTTTGCAAATCCATCTGCCTCTGGGTACAATTTCCCAGGATAATTACGGCTCGGTTTACCATTGCGTAACCAAAAGAGTATGAATTCTAATGGAAGTTAATAATTATTTAGTTTTTTCTCTTTCGAAGTCTGTAGCAATAAGAAGTTGCAGTTACTATTTTAATAGTAAAAATGGCAGAATAAAGTTGTAGACCGACCCTAAAGTTAGCATAGCAAGGGCTCCCTCAACAGAAAATATACTTTTTGTTATACTTAACACGTTTTGTTCAGCAGGATAATCTCCACGTAACATTTTTAAAGCGTAAATGCAATCGGTAGATGTAAAAAGGTAACATTATGCTATAAACCAACTACATCACTATCGCGTCATCACTGCTAAGCTAACGTTGGACTTCGGTGTGATGACGTTTAGTCTCATTCAGTCACTTGTTAGCAACTGCTATTTTTATGACACATAGAAGCTTCAGACATTTACCAGTTGATACTTACTGACGTAATTTATGTCATAACAAAATGTGAAAATCATTTAAGCTTGTGTTAACAACAGACCTTAATTAAAATAAAATTGAATTAGAGATGTGGGATCTGGAAGTGCGGAAATTCTAACTAATTTCTGGGTTTAGGACCCATTCCTGCACCAGTCCATAGACCCATACAAAATGACATACGGTTATTTGAATACATGTGAAGTTTAAAGGCAGACAGTTTATGTTTTTAATGTTTACGTATAATTTGTATATTTGTTTAAAACCTTTGAACATATAAATTAATTTTCTGGGATACTCGCAAAAGCTAATGGGTAAAAGTTTTGTATGACCTCAGACAATTTACTGCTTTTTGGAATGATCTTTTAGAATCTTCTGCTTAAACATTTATAAAAAATTGCTAGCTGGAACAACACAACAAAAATGCTTTTGTGTTTTTGTAAAGAGATAGAAAATAATCACAATGCTAACAGATGCTAAAAGGCGCAGTTCGAGCTGGTGATGATTCTCCTTGGGTTCGTCATGATGAGTGACCCCTCTCACATACACAAAGTCATTTCCTCCTTTGTTAATATAAATATATTGATTGGTGCAGCTCTAATCATCTAGCATAACTAACTCTGGGCCTAACATCTCCTCTTACTGGTGAGATATTAAAGCAATCAGTATTGGATTACGTTTTGAGGGGACATTCCTTAACTGTACACGGACGTCCGTGTGATTCATTAAACGCCGCATCACATCTATTCCATTCATCCAGTGTGAAGTCCATATCAGCCCCACTAATAAATCCCACCCTGGTCACTTCCCAATCACTTGGCAGAGAAAGAACAACCATCACCACTGACGGCCTCTCATAATGCCTGCTGAAATTGCTTATTAAATCTCAGTTATTCGGACCACCTGAAGGTTATAGGCTCTTTGTTTAGATGAGCTGCAGGGCATGGCAGCCAAAAGGCAGATTTATACCTCAGATAAGTAGGACAGAATAGATCAACGCTTTATTTACAGCCTCCTTTCATTGTATACGCCTCTGTCTCTTACTTATTGACACAGGGTGCTATATATATGCATATTAGATGTAAATTGGCCATATTCATTATTCAGATGCTATTGTGTTTACTGTGTCTTATCAAAAGCACAAGATGGACAGCTGCTCTCGCAGACTCATATCCGTGATGGAAGTTATGATGTCCTTTGTGTTTGTAATGAACAGATTAGGCTAAAGCAAAGACACAGCACGTTAAATAGACTCTAAACCTTATCTGTGATCTGTTTAAGGAAGACGCATCTGAGTTATGTCTTGAATTTCACTGAGCTTTAGACAATAGCTCACACCTCCCTCTCTCTCTCTCTCTCTTGCTGCTCCGGCCTGCTGGCTGTTGTGGATTCACTTCCTCGCCAGATGCCGTTTACATAGCTTGTCTGGCATTTGCAAATGCTGAGCTAACCGAGGCGAGCGAGATTGAGCAAATGTATTTCAGCAAAATTGCCTCAGCAGCAACGGCGCTCCCAACTCAGCCTCCAAGGACACACTCAGAAAATTACACACACTCTTTGAGCTTCTTTGTGTGAGAGCAGGCGCACTCAGGGTTGGACAGGACCAGAATGCATTAGATGGAGCGAGAATTAACATGAAATAAAGGGAGGGAGCGGGGGAAGTAAATGGCTTCACTGCAAAAACAAAAAAAAACACTTATTATTTCTATCTAGAGGCGGGTCCTAAACATTTTTTATTTGATTTCCTAGAAAGGAGTGTTTGTATCCTGGTACAAGGTAAAGTCCAGCTGGAGAGTTGCTTGTCATAACGTCATAGTATAGTATTTCATATAAATGTCACATTAAAGTATTTTATAAAAAAGCCATTGTATGGTATGTTATAAAACAGCAATAGCAAGGCATACTACAGTGTGCCATTAAAACATCATAAATAAATGAATGGTATCGTATGCCATATATTTGTCAGAGAATGTAGTCACAGAATAGGATGTGTAAAAAGTGAATGTATATTATCTGATAAAAACATAATCAGTCTTTTACATGCAATATGATATAACTAAGATAACTATATCTTATGTGACTATTTTGTTACTTTGTATGTGGTCTACTGAAACTAATGTACATTTTTGTTTGACTTTGATCCAAGTTTTGTTGACTTTTTTCTACTTGTACTGCCATAAGTAATAGAGGACAATATATTATTTGTTTCTGAGTCTAAAATCAATACCATTATATTGAAACCAAATGAATAGGTTGCATGGTGAAATTCATATAAAGTCTCTATAGTGATCAAAGCACAGTTTTCCAAGTATATAAGAAATGCACACATCCTGCATTGAAGAAATAACAGGCATAGAACCCACTCTTTCCAGAATAATACAGGAAACAAGATCATATTAATTGGAAATAACCTTATCTTGTGTTAAGAAAAAGGCAATTCATATCTACATATATGTTCTCCAAACTAAATGTCAAAATGTTTATTTGCTGTTGCCTTCCAAACCAACTCACATAAGCATTTACCCATTGAATGCCCCGGTCCATATCTTTTGTCAGTATCTTGCACCAATCCCAACAATACCAGCATCTACAGTACAAGAGGTTCCCAGGAAGGCCCCTCTCCTCCCTATGGATGGATGTTTGTTAGATTGCTTCTAGGGATTCAGAAACATCCCATGATTGGATAAAAAACTCCACTCTCTATTTTCTTTATTAGGTCCCCAATCTCCACTAACCTCCTTTTACATAGCTCATTTGAAATCCTTGTAATTATTACACGTGGCACTAAATGTAAATGGAGTGTGTGTGTGTGTGTGTGTGTGTGTGTGTGTGTGTGTGTGTGTGTGTGTGTGTGTGTGTGTGTGTGTGTGTGAGAAAGAGAGTGCCACACATATGTAAATAGGCTATTTTGCATATAAAATGCTTTAGCTTCAATATTCCAGAGTAATAAATTGCTCAAAGTTGGAGACGGCGCACATGGCCCCCGGGCTATCCCGGAGTCATTAAGTAGCCGAACGTAGTCAGGCGGACATAAAGCCAGTAATTCAATGATGGCTACGGCTATGATGGAGAATTTACATGGAGATAAAATCCAGAGAGTGGGACGAGGAGGTGAGAGGGTGAAAGACGGAGAGGGACAAGACGAATTAAGAGACAAAGGAAGGGGAGGGAAGAGGAGGAGAATGAGGGGTGAGAGGAGGGAGGGGATATATGATGAGGCAGTGAATGGGAAGAAAGAGGAAGAGGTGAAGAGGGGGAGACTTACAAATGAAGAGTAGGCCAACGCCACGACTCCAGCTGCCACTTCAGCGATGAATATGATGAGGATGATGGAGAAGAACTGCAGGATGGGACAAGGAGAACGTTTTAAGTGCTTAATTATATAAAAAAAGGGTCTTGGTCAGTTTTACAAATCCAAGTCTAGCAATTATCTGCATTCATATTTGCATTAAAAGGCAGAAGTGGATGCTTCTTAATCCCGTAAACTGAGGGATTTCCTTTTGTCAACAATTGCTCCTTAAGTGATACAGCATTGGAGTACGGAGCCTTTAAAAAATAAATCTTGTACAAATAAATACATATATTTTAAACACCAGACTAAAATAAATGATTCTGAGGTTTGTTGCCACCAACAAATTAGAATACCCTGAGTAGTTTTAAACAGCTATTGTTGTACGTAACAATCACAGACTGTCGATAAAGCTTTAATGATTACACAGGGGGACAATAAGCAGACACAGAGCCCAAATGCTCCATTCTGCCAGCTCATTTATTGTTTTTATGCAGTCCATTACAGCCATTTGCCAGGATGCTTTGGTTCCCGCTCGTCCCGTCAGCCGTGGGATCTGCTGCACCGACATCATTCAACTCAATGGGAGATGTGGACATGATGGGAATCCACAGGGGGAAAAGGCTGCCTGTTCTCCTCATTAGACTCACTGCAGTGGACTAAGAGGTAGTTGGCTTGTCGATAATGAGCATAATAATGTACACTGTATTGTTCGGAGGTAGCAGGTATGAATGAGGATGTAGGGGCGGATGTGGACATTAGCTGAGCACTTGATGAGCCGGGTGCAAATGGAAGGGTGGGTGTGATTCTGAATGTGGAGCAACTGGATGTAAAAGCACCTCATGATCATTTAAGGTGTTTTGCATCCTAATTGAATTTGTTGAACTCTTCCAAAGGCACTGGGAAGCAATCAAGCGGCAACACTGAGGTCTTAAAATAGAAGCCAATAATGTCCCTTGAACATGCATTCTCTTTTTAATGGCCTGCAGGAGGCGAGTCCACTGTTTGCAAAAATATCTGATTGACTAGAAGTCTATGAGAAAATAATTGTACTTCCCACAGGATTCTTTACTGCAGTAGAGCTTTTTTTCTAACGGTTTTATTGTCTCAGTTGCTAGTTGAAGTTTTTTTTTTAATACAGCATGACGCTAGTTTTAGTAAAATAAGGTACTATATTTAGAGTAAAATTGTGTGCTTTAGGGTGTGGCTACCTTGACCAGGTGCTGGTTTGGATGTTGTAGGTATTTTCATTCCAACTTTAACCCTTCAGAGATTGTTTTGCGGTCAGGAAAGTTCATTATAACAGTTTGGTCACCTTTACATTACTTGGTGACTGCGTTTAGTTTGACTATTTTGTGTCTACATGGGTGGCACCTTAAGAAATCATCATTTACTGTATATTCTTTTTATTTATCAGCATTCCTCACACTTTTGGTGTTGCTGTTTATTTTAAGTCTGTTTCAACCCGCCTAGTATTGCTGTATGTTCATGACGAACAAATATTTTTGTTGAGTTTTGCCAAGTTCTTGCTCATTTTAAAATAATTTCAACAGACCTGGCATTTATTTAGTAAACAGCACTTTCCATTTCACATTGTAGTTAGTCGAAATACTATGGAATCAGGTTTGTGTCATTAAGATCAAGCAAAACGTCTTCTTATTGATACCATAACCAATGGGCTGCCAGAATTGTGATTAGGCAGGAAATAATCCATTCAATATCTTGTTACTAGGGCCGGGACTTTAACGCGTTAATTAAGATTAATTAATTACACAAAAATTAACACGTTAAAAAAATTAACGCATTTTAATCGCACTTATTTTTGCACCGCGGAACGTTTCTCACTGGATAAGTTTCAGGGGTACCGATTATACTGGAGCACCAACTAACGTTCATGACTTCAGACAACAACAAACCAAAGTGAACAATAGTCAAACATGAACGAAGAAGCTGATGAGACCGCTTTGGTTGGCCCCGTGGATGGGACATTTTGTTTTAAAAAACGGACGGATGGAAGCGTCAATAAGAGCACGGTTGTTTGCAAATTATGCAAAAAGGAATTTGCATATCACCGCAGCACATCAAGCCTCAAGTATCACCTCAATGCAAAACCTATAGCAGCTAGCGTGGAAGCTAGCGTGGGCGTTAGCCCGACTCGGAGTACAAGGACCCACACCAAATTCGCGTTGATCAAACAGTGGCCTATGCAACAGAGAGATTTTATTTTTCATCAGGATATTGGAAGAATAGGAGGGATTGAGGTCAATCACTGGCACTTTTTTATTTTATTTTAAATGGTACAGTACACTTTATGTTGAACTATTTATTATGTTGTTGGTGCAACTGGCACTTTATGTTGAACTGTTTATTGTTTTGGCCAAGGTTATTGAGAGAGTTGGACTGAAATGTATTAGATTTTTTAAATCAACTGTTGGTAAATCAACAAAGTCTGTTATGGCCTCTGAAGCAACAGAGAGATGTTTTCTAATAGTCAGGGTTTCCAATGTTCTGAATGTACTTGAAAGTATTGTGTTTTACTTAAAAAACAAAGTGTTATAGTTTACAGAAGGTCTACCTACCTATAGGCTACCTGAATCTCTGAAATGTACTATATTCCTAAATATGCTATTGCTACACTTTATGGCAAAAATTGCACTTTTCTGTTGGTCTTGGTTAAGAACCTCCTTGAAAAAAATAAACAATGTTTTGTTGCTTAAGCTTATGTATTCAGTCATTATTCAATGGTATACTAAAATCCATGTGAAAAAACATGCTTCTCACTGTTCTCAGGTCAAATATTTATATGTGATTAAAAATGCGATTAATTGCGATTAATTAATTACAAAGCCTGTAATTAATTAGATTAATTTTTCTAATCGAGTCCCGGCCCTACTTGTTACCATTGGCACGTTGGTGAAGTACACTTTCTTCATGCCTTGAACTCACAACTGTAATAGTGTTGACACTTTTCCATACTAGTTTTTTTACACCTACCGTGAGAAGCAGACACTTGCTGTCCTTGCGGGCCCCACAGCAGCCCAGGAACCCCATCAGGACCAGCACGGCACCGATGGCGATGCAGAAAAAGCCAACGTTGACAAACTGCATGCCTTGGCTGGAGAAAGGCCCCAGCAGCTGGAGGAAGGAGCCCCCATCCACGCTCACCCAGATCCCCATAGCCAGCAAGGTCAAGCCGCCCAACTGCAGGATAATCAGGCAAACATATTCACAATAAATTAGTGCAAAAAAACCGATACAAGCACAAACTTCAAATCTGGAGTGTTGGACTTTGACGAATACATGATGGTCTGTTATATTTGAGCCTTTGCCACACACCTCACACAATGCTGTCATCTGTACTTCCCAGTATACCCGTGTTGTGGTGACTTTAGACTAGAGCAACCATTCCAGAAACGTTCTTGGCTTCTGCCATACTCTGTTACTATGGCATGTTCCATATGGGGGATACTATCAATGTCAGAAAGGGGAGACAATATCTTTAAAAACGGCAAGTAAAATGTCCATCATTTGGGAGGGTTCAACAGCTCTTGAGGGGATAATGTTTTTTTGGAAATAAGAGGCCATCTTACATGGCTAACCCTGTCTTACTATTACCTCTCAATGACACCATGTCACCTCAATATCGTTCATTCCATTCAGAGAGGATGATTCCTTTTGTGAGACAGAGAGGTGCCGCCTCGGGCCAACTTGGCTTATTTTTACTTTTCTAAATGAAATAACTGCCCTTTTACATGACTGCCTTTATCTCCCCTCATGTCACACAGGCATAATAGACAAAAAGCCATTTATTGATTTTCTTGTTCTGCTGAACAAGCCTTGAGGTGCATATAAAGTAGGCTAAAGGATTACAGTATACACAGTCAAGGTGGTGTAAATCTCCTGTTCTCTAAAGACATGGATGTTTTATTTGTCAGGTCTACAAGTTAGGAAATTAATAAGAACAAGGACATTACTTCACATATGAAGAAGATGGACCTTTATTGTTTGGAAATTCAGTTTTGGAAATATGTAATCTCTATAAAAATAGATTGGGAGTATCGGTTACCAACAAGACATGATTTTAGCATCGGAAGCTTTCAGGGTTTTGGTTGGAAGTCCGAAAATAATTTATCATCATGTTTGCGCAAGCTTTTTATTAGTTTAAATTAGCTTAACTGTGAAACAAGTCTTGCATCATCTCACAACTCCAACTTCTTATTTGCTTAAAGTTTAAAGGAAAAACTGAGTGGCACACAAATAATGAAGCCATGGCTTGGATATCTGTTAGCTACACTTGAAAGAAGCTGATATTGCCTTTTTGGTTTGGAGATTGTGCCAATTGTAACCAGTATGTTATATACAAAATGTTTTGGTCATGGCAGTTAAACGGAACCACATAACAACTGACTAAATACAATCAACCACACACTGGACGACAAGTATACTATGCCTAGTCATATCCCTGCGAATCGTGAGGAACAAAAAGCATAATTTTAAATATATAACCTTAATTTAAATCAGATGGTGGATTATGATGCGTATGTACCTAACAAAAACTCACACAACATGTTCTTGACATCCCTTTATAGAGTATGTAAAGGAGAGCAGGCATTACAACGGGATCACTGATGTGCATTTATAGAAATCCAAAACATGTGAAACCTGTTCATAACAAACAAAATCCAAACTATGTCACATGTTTCACATTACACTCTGTAAATCACCGGATCCCACTGTCATTATCTCGCTCTGTCTGCCTCTCCTTCCTCATCTCTCCACCTCTGACCTTCTCTTCCACCCTTTTATCCTCCTCCGTCTCCTCTGTATATTTCACCCTGAACTGCTCGTACTGAGTGATTTCTCGTCTTCGGCAGAAACCATGTTTGAAACCTGATATTGTCTGTCAGGCTCCATCAGGCTTGTTGCAGTCAGGGGGCCTCCGCTTCGCTTCAGGCCCCGACACGCCACATCTCCTGTCAGACGTCTCCCACATGGGGATCATCATTTTCTTTGTCTCCCTACCTTGGCCCCGCTCTTTCCATCTATTTTTTACTCTCCATCAGCCTCTCCCCACCTTTCACTCCAGGGTTTTTTTTCTCGTTTCCTGAACCTGTTCAGTGCCATCATTGCCCTGTTGGCTAAATGTGATGCGACAAACACACTCCCCCTCTTACTCCATATGTGCCACCATCATACCTCACCAGGTATAATTATAGTTGGCACAATATCTTCCTTTTTTTTTTAAATAGCTAATTCCTTTGATGGTGTGCCATATGCAGGTGTATGCCCTGTCAGTTGAACACCCACATGGCAAAAGCACTGGAAGTCAATCAGGTTTTTGAGAGAAGGGGGAAAGAAGAAGCAGTGTCTTATCGTATTGAGATGGGAAACATAACCTATTAGGGTTAGAGGAGAGTGAATGAATAACAGGCTCCAGAATAAGAGGCCACGGCCTCCAGAGAGGGGGAGGTGGATGGAGAGATAGAAAGATACAGAGAGAGCAGAAAAGAGAACGGGCCTGTCCCACCCAAATTGAAATGGAATTGGTTCCCTTTCAATAGGATGGAATGAGAAAGACGTCAGTTGAGTTTAAAAACCCATTTTCCAGGGTCATATTACCGAGAGCAGACAATCAGATTAAGTTCCGACTCTCGGGCCACAGATCTGCACACACAGAGCATACATGGAGACACTTCTAATTTCCAATGCATTTTGATCTGCTCCAAGGCAGAGTCGAATTGTACACTTAGAACTAGAATCAAATTGTTTATTTTTTGCGGACTTGCATCCTACTGTTTCTATCAACACTCAAATGGGTTTCTTAAGCTATGTCTTCAGATATTCAAAAATGGCATTCAGTACCATGATACTGTACAATTCGTTTTTTATGTTGATGATAGTTCTTCATAGTAGTAACTGCACACATTTCAAATACAGCTCTCTTAACTCCTTAAAAGCAAATCGGTCCCAATTTTCTATTTTGATTTTCACAAAAGCTGTTGGTCACCAAAGCACTTTTGGGTTGGCCGTAGGTGGAGGTCTCTTGGTGGTAAATGGTCAATGGACTTCATTTATATGGTGTTTATCCAGTCCTTACGACTCCTGAGCGGTTTACATTTACGAGTCATCGTTCACCCATTGGGGTGTGATTCATTCACACAGAGGCAGGGGCTGCCATGCAAGGTGCTACCAGCCCAAGGACGCCAACATTCACAAACATTCACAAACATTCAAACACCATTTTCAGGAGCAACTTGTTGTTAAGTATCTTGCCCAACGATACATCAACATATTAAGTTCATGGTCTGGGATCTAATCCGCAACCTTCTGATTGAAAGACAACAGCACTATCGTCACCTGGAATCACAGCTTTTTACTGAAAACCAAGGATTTCAACATGTTTTCTGTCACAATTGTCAACTCTAAAGGAATCAGCCCATTCAGATCACAAAGGGATTTTAAACAGAACTACTTTGCCTGAAGCTGGAGTCATTGGTCTAACTGCATTAATAAACAAACCAGTTTGTTTTAATTTAGTTTGATTTTAGTTTATGAAAATGATCTTATTTTATGTTTAAGTACAATTAACATGTGGTGTCTTTGCCTTCTATCCGTGGGATGACACCGTGAACTAGTGACCTATAAGTCCGGAACTATGGTAGATTATGTTTCACTGTCAAATAGGTTTTACCACAATGTCCACAACTGTGGTTGGAGGTTTGGTTTTAGCTCTTGCACAGATGACTGTTGTACGGTTCAATTATGGGGTTCAGCTATTTTAAAGTTTATTTTAATACACTAATTATAGATTGACATGAAACATATGGAGCTATTATTTATGGCTACGGTAAAGGTTTCTTTATGTAATCACAGTTAGCAGCTTAACTTTATGCACAACTGACTTCTCTACTTAGCAAAGACAAACCATAACATTTTAATGTCAAGTTTTCAAAGACCCAGATTCTCCGAAGAACATTAATTAATTTCCTCAAAAATAAAAATTCTCAGAATGCAGATGGCCCCCGAACACGATGACGCCAAACTTGAAATACAGCCGAAGTGTTTGAGCGGTCCCATTAAAGCATCGTTTTTTATGAGCAGCAGAGAATTATTTAATCAATTGTGCACTGCTGGCTAACATTTCAAACAGACATCATAATCAGTGCGCTGCTGTGACTTTTAAGAGCTTCTGCATCGGATTCATCAAGCAGCGTAACTCAGGCAGAAATTGGAAATGTGAGGAAAATGATGACTGGTGCTGGGAGCTTCATCTGTGACAGTGGGACTCCAGGTGGGCCTAACTCGGCGGTCAAATTCAGCTTACCCTCGCCAAAGTTTCTCTCCACTTCATAAACCACATTAGTTATCAACATTAAGCCGAAGATGGAGCTGGCAAAATTAGAGCCTTTGAAGTTAATGAGATGAAAATTGCTACGAACAGGAGAAAAAGCAACATCGTGTATGGCTTCTGGCTGATCTGAAATGTTTGTGTAACGAATGTTTGCGTTGAAGGACGCTATGAAATGATTTTCTTCACATTGTGATGAAAGCTATTGTTTTTTTTTTTTATTCACAGCATGCAATCAGAGCGCAAAAACATACTCACAAAGATAAGCAAGTTGAACAAGACCATCATCAATTTGACGACTGTGAAGAAGCCCATTATAATCTGTAATAAAAGGAGAAGATAAATTATTGCATTTCCTCTTTCATCAGCCGAGACCTTTTATATCTCTCTCGCTCTCACACACACACACACACACACACACACACACACACACACACACACACACACACACACACACACACACACACACACACACACACACACACACACACACAGACGGTATATGTGGCCAATCCCAGAGAAATTACTGTGAAAATTACATGGCTGACAATGACTCTTAATGATAACTCACACACAGCTGTGAGAAACAGTAAAGATATTTTATAATGGGTGATCTTTGGAGAGGGAAAGCCATATTAGAGAGGAATATGTTTACACGTGGTAGAGACATTAAGGCACAGCAAATGGTAAAGTGAAGTAATTAAAGTAAAAATATAAAACAATCTTACCCTTTAGTGTGGTAATCTTTCTTAATATCCAAAGTAAAGCCAATTTAAACACATTTAAAGTCCCTGGTTTCAGGAAAGCTGACCTTTTTAAAAGAAAAAAAACTGTTTTCTGTTCCTGTGGCTCAGGTAGGAGGTTCCAGGCAGGTGAACTGTAAAGACTAATCTGTCTGAAAGATATCCGTAGAGTGATGATGGTCATGCAGGTGAAAGAATCTGATTTCAGAAATATGATAAGTGCCTCCTTTCAGGTGTGGTCCCTGAGGAATGAGGATACAGGTGACAGCAGGAGGAGTTCAGGTACAGGTGCTTTAGTGGCAGCTCTGACCCCTGCAGGTACACAGTGACACAGATGTATAGCACAGGATTCCTTTCTCTGGGATTGGAATATAAAATAGATGGACGTGTACAATTTATCTGCTTTAAATCGAAACATTAATAAAGGTCCTATTTTTGTCCGAAAATGTGCTATCCCGAAAAACGAACAAGGTCACTTTACTTTGAAAAGTTCCCTACAACCAACAAAACTTTGGATCAACAGGCATATGTCTTTGGGATTATGGGCTCTTTGAGTTTATGGGATTTCTGTACAATAGAAGGATGCTGGTTCTGGATGCTATACAAGTGTTGTATAACGCTAGCAGCTTTGATATGCTCTGTATTGGATATAGGGGAATTTACACAATAACAACCCCAGGTGACATAACATGAGATAGAAATACGTTTGCAAGATATCAATCAATCAATGAATGTTTATTTATAGCCCAATATCACAAATGTTACATTTGTCTCAGTGGACTTCACAGTTTGTACAGAATATCAGTATGACAATACGACACCCTCTGTCCTTAGACCCTCACATCGTACAAGGAAAAACTTCCAGAGAAAACCCACAGTTTAAAGGGAAAAAAGGGAGAAACCTCAGGGAGAGCAACAGAGGAGGGATCCCTCTCCCAGGACGGACAGACGTGCAATAGATGCTGTGTGTAAATTGAAAAGATAATACATTTGCAACATAGTTAGTCCAAATGTTTGGAAATGCATGTGTGTATAATAGGAAGATGAATCCACAAGGATATCCATCCAGGACTTATGATCCAGGACCACAGCAACAGGCACAGCCACGACTCAAGATCCAGGGCTCGCGATCCAGGACACAGGACCGCGGCAACTGGATCATCCATGACTCCGGATCCCAGCATATATAGACACCAAAAAGAAAGAAATTTGGGGAAGCTGGGTTAATCGGAACATGAGAGTACACAGGTAGAGACAGAGACAAGGAAGAAGTAAGGTGTCCCCCGACAAACTAAGCCTACATCAACAAGCCTTCATTTCAAAGTTATGAATGAATCATTAACTAA